AAACCAAGTGCAACATCTTGATAAGATCGTTGTATCCACTCATCAACAGGAGGTCTACCCTGTCCCTGAAAAATAAGCTTGCTGTCTACAAACAAATCATCCTTCCCGTAATAGAATACGGGATGCCAATCTGGGAGAGTTGCGCCAAATGCCATCACCTCAAACTCCAAAGGGTCCAAAACAAGATCCTTAGGATGATCCTTAACACTCAACCGCGGACTAGAAATTCTGAGGTCCACCGCCTGGCTGGTCTTCAGACACTGGAGTTACGGAGAGCTGACTCCATCGCAAGGTTCAGAGATTGTTGTAGGCAAACAACAGGTCGTCAGGGATCTGGCACGTTAGGTTAAGTTAGGTTAAGTCGGTAGAATAACAAATTAATACATTCAAAGAACATACTTCACAAGAAAAAAATTGAAAAACATTGCACAAAACAACATGTACAACACAAAATCAAAAAGTCCACTAAAGATGAAGAGCGCTTCTGGCTATCCTCTTGCCCTGTATTAGCAATTGTAAACCACATAACAAATCAAAATAAAGAAGAATTTTACTACTAATTATGGTGTTTATTCAACTACCACGTGCGGTGAGTGGGGGTTTCCGGTCGTCATCAGCAACAGTGCTTTCAGCGCGAGGAGTTGTACATTTTTCTTCAGTACACAACGAAAGGCTCCCCGCAAGCAGCTAGCTATCAAGGCTGCCCTCAAGAGCCCTTGATTCACCGAAGAAGGAGGAAGAAGCCGCACCGCTGCTGATCGGATTCACCCTTGTTCCAAACAACATACAGCTCGCCAGCCTCATCCGTGTTGAACACCCTAATAGCTCAGGATTACTCAACCATCACTACATAACGGTTCTTTTCAGGACCACCACATCACTCTCAAAGCTTTTTGATAATGTAATGTTCCTCAGATATTCTTGCCAGTCGATGCTTTGTAACTGTTCGCGAAGAATGCTCGAGATTCAAGTGCAACTCGGTGGCTTAAGCGCCACTCCCTTTACGAGAGACCACCGGTCGTGTTTTCTTTGCCCGACTTAGAGACTGATCCTCAGAGGACCACTCGAACGGTATGATTAAAAACCCTTCCTCAATGAAATTCAAAACTTTAATGGAAACTTATCTTTATCGAAAGAACACCTTTATCCGATCTATTTGCCATCAGGGAAACCCGCAATCTCAAAGAAGTCCACAAATTATAGTCCCAATTTTCATTAAATTTAACGAACCAAGCTAAACCGAATGTGTCTGATGCGAATCCAAGACGAGCCCAAGAACTCAATGACGAGCGAGACAGCTAAAAAACCGTGACAGAAAAATAAGTAACTCAACGAAAAAACTTCAAATTTCAATCTATATTCACATCATTCCTAACATTCATTCGGGTTAGACTAAACTCGGTTCAAAAAGCAAACTATTCATGGCCATGAAAAAAAAGTACGGACATACCTGCGCAGGTTTTTTCAATGCGATGCGATGCGATGATGGCGACGGACGAATCGGTGCTGGCGAAGGATGGAGCGGTAATGGCGGCCGGTGACCTTACCAAGGTCCTGGCGATGGCGACTGTCGACCTTTCAACGACCTGTGATGATGGCGGCGGTCTCAGAATGGCGCCAGATCAAGCAGCGGAAATGGCGTGTAGCGACGAAAAGTGATCCGTGTGCGGTATGGCCGAAATTAGAGGTGCGGAGGTAGTGGCGGCTGAACGGAAGGCTTCCGATTTGCTTTCTAGAGAGCTGGGCATCGACGGCGTCGAGCATTTCCCGGGAGATCCACTCCGTGGAAAAGAGAGACCAACGTACCGTCGCACGGCTTCGCGTACTATGTTTCCGCTATGACCGCCCGAGATGAAATGTAATCTTCAACTATTTGGCTAAAATCCGAACTGAGGTACGCAATTGGCTTCGTACTTCTGCGGTCCGAGCTCTCGAATGTCACGGTCCCCGGGGTTGTAACGTACCATTTTTCAGATTTCAATCTGCACGGTTTCAAGTCGAAGTAGGGGTACTAACTTTCTCACGATCATAAATGTCAAAAAGTACACGCTAACGTGAATCTACCCACATGTATGTCAAAGTGACCTAGATTTAAACGGACCGTTTATTAGGAAATATTAGTGAAATATTGATACATAGGGACGGGATCGGTTTTAATACTTCGAGTATCTCTTACAAGCACGGGGTCAACAAAAGCTTACAACAGAATCATACAGCCATAAAAGAGCGTTTTAAGTTGTTGTTAACCCCGTTAAACTTAAAATAGGTTCCCAATGATTAATGTGTTCGCTATGATTGGTTTTCAAATCCATGACGAAAATTTTTCCCACCTCACAAACTGTTTCTAAACCCTGTATATAGTTCAGATGTGTTATGTTTTGTGAACAAACAACCAAAATCATAAAAATATAGGTTTCAAAACAGATAATTAAAGTACAAAAAATATGGACATAAAATCGACGTATGTAAAATCGAGGGTCTATAAAATCGAGGTATACCTGTAATCAGGGTTCCTTCCATTCATTTTGGCTATAAAAATGTATTATGAAATTATGGAATAATAAGATATTTTTATAATATTTTGTTTGCGTAAGCAACAAGAAAAGATTGTGGAGTTTGTGTTTGACACATAATACCAGCCAATGTTGCTGCATGAGAGTGGCAATAAGCGATTTTGTCATTTATCTCACCCACTCTTCGCTCTTCACTCTTCGCGAAGAGGCGATTAGAAAATCGCTCATTGTGGCTCTGTCAAAGCTAAATTTGCAGCTTTTATGTGTCAAACACAAACTTTAAAATCTTTTCTTGTTTCTTACACATACAAAATACCACCATAATATCTTATTATTCCATAATTTCCATAAACATTTTTTTAGTCAAAATGAATGGAAGGCACCCTGCCTGTAATGAGTTATGATTTACAATATTTGTTTTATTCAATTTCGTCTCCCATCCCGAATGCCCGCACCTTCTTTTTCACTCCACCATCAAATTTTATACAACCGATTTTATCAGTGTTTTTTTTATAGTTTATACTCAAATTTTCTTCAACTCCAGCTCTGTTCTAATAGTTTTGGGATGTTTGCGAAGTTTCATTTTCATAATTGCCTAGAATTTTTTCAATTGATGAAGTTCCGGTGAATTTGGTGGGTTCATATCTTTTGACACAAAATTGACTCCGTTGGCTGGGTACCACTCCAACACGTTTCGAGGGTAGTGGCAGGCCAGATCAGGCCAAAACAGAGTTGATCCTTTGTGCTTCCTTATGAATGGCAAGACACGCTTCTTAAGGCACTCTTCCGTGTGAATCACACCGTTGATTGTTCCGGAAGTGATGAAGGGAGCGCTTATTTCAGGCCAGATCAGGAACTTCTTTGCAAATTTCGATAATTTCTTTTTTCAAACATCCTCCGAAACATCGAACTTAGACTTGGCAACGAAATATTCTTGCCCAGGAAGTTGACGGAAGTCGGCCATGACGTAAGTTTCGTCATTCATCACGATGCAACACGATTTGATGAGCAACTTTGTGCACAGTTTCCGGGCACGAGTTATCGCAGTGATGTTTTGCTTTTCATTCCGGTTTAGTGCTTTTTTCACCTTGTAAACATGGAACCCAGCACGCTTCATGGTTTGCTGCACAAAACCGACTGGCACCTTGGACTTTTTAGCGACATCTCGAATTGACATGTTTGGACGGTTCTTGAACTGTTGCACTACTTTCCTGGCCATTTTACTGTCCATTGGACCACTTTTACGACCACTCCCTTCCTTCTTTCGGGCACTCAGACGCTCCTTGAAGGTTCTTATCACGCGAGACACAGTTGTATTTGCAATTCCAAGCTTTTTAGCGATCCATCGGTGGAACGTCTTTGGATTTTGATTTTTTTTCACGGGCAATTTCTTGTTTCGGCGACATGACCGGAACTTCTGTATGAATAACTAAAATTTTCAGGTTTTTTACTCATACGGTTCAAAAGTTACAGAGGATTTTCGGTATGCCATTTTTATCGAATACACCCTTTAGTCGCCTGCACGAACAGTATTCTAACAACCACATCGTAAAAATCCTAGAAATTAAAATCTCTGCCGCACAAATTCCCACTGCTTTATGATTGTTAGGACCTAAAATCAATTTGACAGCAAATAAAAATGCAAACAACCACTCCCACAGTGCACCGGAAGCTGAGCACCGAACCCAAGTGAACGAAAGTGCGTTTTCCCAGTGCTGTTTTTCTTTCTCATTACTCCAACCATCCGTTTCGTTGTCTCGAGTGTAAATCCGAACAATAAAGAAAACAGTCGCGCGAGTGAGAGATCAATGCAGAGAGCAAAAATCATCCATCTCTCAGCGCTCTCCCTCTCCGCCAGCCATCGAAGTTGCTGATGATGACGATGATGATGATTGCCATGAGAGGAAAACATCAACCATAAACGGAGTTTTAGCGCTCATAAATCGAGAAAAACATATCCGCGTGGCTCAGCATCATTATAATCGTCATCAACATCATCATCATCATCATCATCGTCGGAAGCAGCGAGAGAGCGAACCGAGCGAGAACATTGAGAAGCATCAGCATCGTCGAGAGCCTGTGGGTGGAGATGTGAGGATTACATAATAACCTCATCTTAATTGACAATTGTGTGATAAATTATCGAACCGAAAGTGTCACTCGTTGTCCCATCGGGGTGGGGTACGGTGCTTATTTCCGAGGATTACTTCGTCCATGCTCTCGTCGTAAGGTGAATCACCCCGAGCGAAGAGAGTTTGTTCATTGTTTTCACAGTGCAACAGATTTGCTACGCATCGTTTCCCCTGGAGTTGGCTCCTTCTACCCTGCTGCTCCCCAAGAAAAAAACGCCCAAATAGTGATCAGCTTCGTATTCGCATTTCTCACTCCCGCTTTGACACTCGCTCACCCGCAGTAGGCGCAACGTTGTCACAGACTACTATGGTCCATCATTACAGTTTACGTTTCTCACGCTCTTCTCCTATATAGGTGGTTCGGTTTTCGATTCCCGGGTTCCCGCTGGTGTGCGTGTGCGTGAGTATTTACACTGACGGACACCGCACCTCGATGTGCCAAAACAAAAACAAAAACAAAACATCGTCAAACTGAAATAAAATTAGAAATCGAATCGAAATTCGATTGGGAAAGTGAAGCACAACATAGAACCAAGTGTCAACGCGCCGGCAGGCAAGAAAAGCAGTGTGAAAAGGGAGAAAATTCAATTAGATCGCAATTTTCATTCATTTGTGCACCGGAGACCGACACCGCCCCGATCATCGCGTGTCTGTGTTGCGGTGTAGTCCTCGGACCTTTCCCATTTTCCGGTTGGAAAGGCTAACAACAACATCAACCGCTTCGATTACCTCATACATAAAACCAGAAGCTAAAGGTAAGTCCTCATTTCCTCTTCTCGTAAAAAAAAAAGAAACCCGTAGCGATACGCCTTAAAGTAGACACCCACCGCCCTTACAACCAAGCACACAAACACACATCATGAATTAGCCATATCCCTTCTACTGAAATGCCGCTCGGAAATTACGTGACACAGTGTCATTTTTCTCTTTCCACCCACCCGACGACGACGACGGCGGCGGCAAGCCGGGTCGGTTGTTCTTGTGCAGGAAGCCAACAGGCATTAGAGAGTTGGGTGTTTTTATGTTTGCCTCTTTGTTACTGGGAGAAAGATGTTCATTTCTCACATGTGTCACGCAATTCCCGAGTAGGTACAACAGTGTACCATTTCAACAGTGACGTCATTAAGTTCGGGAGGTTTGTGTTTTGTTTTTGAGATATTGCGCTAAGGGTATGCACTGCTCAATGCTCATGAATATTTTGGATATACGATTCCCTGGAGAGGTGGAACCCAAGAAACATGAAATAGTAAGTCAGTTTTGGGAAAAAATTTAATTTCCAGTATTGCCAGTTAGATATCAAGAAAGGAAGGGCGGATGATAGGGAAGGACAGGACCAACAATCAATACGAAACTAACGATATTAAATTGGCTCACTACTTGACTAGCCTATTGGTCCCAAGCAAATCGATTAACGTACACCATTCTAGCAAAAATTCCAGTAGGGTTAACTACCCCATTTCCGGCCTATTAAGCACAACCCGCACTTAATCTTTCTTAATTTAGCGCAGTTTAGCACCAAACGGAATTGTTGCCGATGCAACTAAGGTTAGAATAAAAAACATTCCTTTTTAGCGTAGATTTCACTCGCTTTAAGCTGCAAATATTTATTATTTTAAGTAGATTTTAAGTAGGAATATCTATATTTAACTTACGTTTAGTGTTTAAGCAAATTTTAATAGTTTTAAGCAAGAAAATATAATAGTTTTATCGAATACAATGCAATTGAGATCCACGTTTCACAAAATATTTTCACCTTTTGATTTCATGTAATCTTCGACGAATGACAGTTGCGCTGACGGCTGTAGCGATGACAAGCAGCGGTAGGGCTACCAGATTCCTCGCTCGTCCGTCCGTTACGAGTTCAAGGGGACTGCGGATGGCTCGTAGCAGTACCAACATTCCCCGGCCCGTAAGGTTGAGTTTGGTCCTGTCCACTAGCCTCGACCTTACCATCTTCAGCTACCTCGATGACGGCGAGCTTCACTGCCGAACGTCGGATGACTCCCGCTTCCGTACGAACCAGGGCCTGTCTGGTAACACCATCTTTTCCACGAATAACCTCGACGATCTGACCTCGAATCCAGGTATTTCTCTTGTTCTCGTTGGCAACGAAAACCAAGTTACCCACTTCAATTGGTTTAGTGTCTCGGAACCATTTGGTTCGCCTGGCAATCGTTGGAAGGTATTCGCGCAACCATCTTTTCCAAAATCCATCCAGAATGTGTTGTGCTGCTGCGTAGACAATCGGTGGCTATCGTAGGTTCCTTAGGCAGTTGCTTAACTCCATTTGAGCTACCCAAAAGAAAATGATTGGATGTCAGCGCTTCTTGGCCGGCGTTGTCCAGCGAGATGTATGCCAAAGGTCTTGAGTTGATCATACTCTCGGCCTCTAGGATGATTGTCTCGAAGGTTTCATCGTCGGGTACTCTTGGTGCGGAGGCCATTGTTTCTATAGCGCAAGTCGTTCCCACACCCCACCCATGTGGGGTGCGGCTGGAGGATTAAAATACCATTTGGTCGTGGTATTGGTGAAGGTTTCGGCGCACTGCTGGATTTGGTCTTGTAGCTCATTCGCGGCACCGCGGAAGTTGGTGCCATTATCAGAGTATATCTCGGATGGGGCACCTCTTCTAGCAATGAATCTACGGATGCACATCTTGCAGGACATCGAAGACAAGCTATGTGCCACCTCCAAATGTATCGCTCGAGTTGTCAGGCACGTGAACAAGGCAACCCATCTCTTAGCGTGTTTGCGACCAACTTTGACTGTCACTGGCCAGCCCGGTGTAGGTGAACGGACGAAGAAATGCTTCCAGCCTGGCCCGCGGTAGTGGGCCCATCTTCGGCGAACCCAGCGATGCGTTGTAAACCTTGAACATCTGACATCTAGCGGCGACTTTGCGGACCAGGTTTCGTAGACCTGGAATGTAGACCAGTTGACGAAGCTCATTGACTACCGTCTCCTGGTTACGGTGGTGACATCGACGGTGGTAGAAATCTACGAAGAGAAAGGTTACTGGATGGTTCGGAGCTAGTATAACGGGATACTTAGCTTCGATCGGCAGGTTGGGGGCGGCGCCGATACGACCATCCATTCGCACCAATCCCTCTTCATCGATGAAAGCTGACAATTTATACAACGGGCTCGATACCGGCACCGCCCCCGAAGGCTTTGTAGAATGTCGACTCTGCAACACAGCTAACTCCTCAGGAAACGTCTCCAGCTGAACCATCTTCCACAGCTTCACTTCCGCTTTGCACAGAAGTTCTGAATTTATCGGTGTTTCCAACGACGTATCTTCGCTCATCACTCCTCCGAATTTGAGAACGTACGCTACCGTTCGCTGCAGCTTTTCCCATCTCGAAAAACGTTTCACATCGATCACAGGCTCTATTTTCGCTCGTCGGTTAACGAGTACCGGGCGAAGTTCTTCTGCTGCATCTGTTCCTTTCCAATTTTGTTCTGGCCTAAACTCCTCTGGACCCCATAGGAACTGTGGTCCTCGATACCATGGATCTTCAGGATCAAAGCACGGCCCGTTGCCCCACTTCGTTGCCTTATCCGCTACATTCTGCATCGTTGGTACTTTCTTCCATTCGCTTGGGTTGGTCGATGTCAAAATCTCTCCAATTCTGCAAGCAACGTACGGTAGATACCTGCGGGAATCGGAGTTGATCCAATGAAGGACCGTCGATGAATCGGTCCAGTAGAACCGTTGATGAATAGGAAGCTGATGATTCTCCAAAATCGACTGTGATAGCCGTGTTCCCAGGATGGCAGCTTGCAATTCGAGCCTTGGGATTGATAGTGTTTTGATTGGAGCGACCTTGGCTTTCGCTCCTATCAGCGCACAATGCGGCTGACCAGCATAGATAAAGCAAATATACACTACGCAGGCGTATGCAGTGCTGCTTCCGTCGACGAACGTGTGAAGTTGCAGTGGCTGGCAGTCTTCTGGAACAGCGTCTCCAAAATACGACCTTGGAATACGGACATCGTTCAGCTTTGGCAACAAGTTTATCCAACGCTTCCAATCTCCGAAAATCCCGTCATCTATCAAGTCATCCCAGTCACAGTTGGCTCGCCACAAGTCTTGAATGATGATTTTCCCTTGAATCACGTACGTGGCGAAAAATCCAAGTGGGTCGTACAGACTCATAACCGTCTTCAAGATCTGGCGCTTCGTAGGACGAACTGAACCGTCTAACAAACCCTCCTCTGTACCAGGCATGTAAGCGGACAAGGTCAGTTCATCTGATTGTGGTAACCAGCGGATACCCAGGACAGATTCTGCAACGTTAGACTCCTCTGAATTCCACGTCATCTCCTTCGCAGCATTTCTTTCTCCAAGTCCTTCCAGTACTTCTCGGCAATTTGACATGAAGTTTCGAATTTCAAATCCCCCTTGGCTATGGACGTATCTGACTTCCTCGGCCAAACGAATGACCTCCTCCACGGTATCTCCGCTGTTCAGAAAATCGTCCACATAGTGGCTATTGATGATAGCTTCAGCAGCGTTCGGGAACTCTAGTGCATGCTCTTTCGCATTTAGATTTTTAATGTATTGTGCTGAGCATGGGGAACAGGCTGCTCCAAAAATGCCCACATTCATCACGTAAATGACGGGCTCTTCGGATGAGTCTTTTCTATGCAGGAACACCTGCGACTTCTGGTCTCTCAACGCGATCTTGAACTGGTGATACATTTCTCGTATATCCCCCGTGACCGCGACGCGTCTCTGCCGGAATCGATACTGCACACTCGTTAGTGGCGTCAGCAAATCGGGACCCTTCAGCATCATTGAGTTAAACGATGTACCTTTGACTTGAGCGGCAGCATCCCATATCAACCGCAGCTTCTGTGGTTTCTTAGGATTAATTACCACTCCCAGCGGCAAGAACCATATTCGATCTTGATCATCGGAACACAGATCATCCTTCGTTGCAATACGCGCGTAGCCCTTTTCCAAATAGGCGTCCACCTGATCGTGGACTCCTTAGCCAGTTCTGGAACCTTTTGAGTCTTCCGCTCTAAACTCTTCAGTCTGCTTACAGCCATAGGATAGCTGTTGGGGAAGTGGACCTCATTACATCTCCAAACCAGGCCAGTTTCGAATCCACCTGGTACACGTCGAGTTGTTGATTCGAGAATTTGCCTGGCCCTTTTGTCTTCTGCCGATTCAAGCTCAGTAGTCAATGGAGTGACACCGAGACTGTCCGTCAGGAAGTACTGCTTTACCAGGTCATGCAACTGACGATCTTCAGTCATACGGCTGACGTGGAAAACTCCTCGGAAATCGTCTGGTTTGGTAGATGCTCCTCCGTAGACGCACCACCCTAATCTTGTCTTAGTGGCGATTGGTTGACCACGTGCTCCTTCACGAATCTTCAGCGGAGTGGACAAGTAGAGGTTTTCCAGGCCGATCAGTAGCTGCGGACGAGCTTCATCGTATCCATCAATATTCAAACCTTTGAGGTACGGAAAGTTATTGATTAGTTCATCCGGGTTGATCGACTGAACAGGAAGTTCTAACTCTTCTACGGTACGTGCGTTGACCACGTTGAAACGTCGTTTCTTTTGCTTTCCGGAAATCTCCAGCTTCACCATGCAAGACTGTTCCTCTACTCGGGACACATTTCCGGTCCAGCGAAGGTGCAATGGATCTGGTGAACCCTTGAGACCCACTTCGTCAGCCAAACTCTTCTCGATCATCGTTACCTCGGACGCCTCGTCGAGTAACGCAAATGTGTTAATGAAACAAGAAGCACGATGCACCGTAACAGGGAGAATGCGATATATTACGGTCTGACTGACGGAGTGGAAATTCTGTGAGCTAGCTGCTAATTTCGACTGTGAAGGGAAAGAGTGGAGCAAGGGATGGTGACGTAGTCGACACCCGTCGATCGTACAATCCTTGGGTCGCCGACAGGGATAAGGAAGGTGATTCCTCATACAGGATCTGCACAAATTGTGCTGCCGCACCATCTTCCAACGTTCATCAGAATTCAATGCTTTGAACTTACCGCAACTATCCACTCCATGGCCTACTTTGCTGCAGATCGGACATACCTTTTCCGATGGTGTTTGCTTCAACTGGTGGTGATTGACGAATCCTCGAGCCTTCGCATTCCCGCTTTTCTTCGTTTCATCTTTCGGTGCCTTTGCCAAAGTCGCTGGTCGATACGTTGTTACCTCGCTTGCTTTCCGTACTATATCCGCCATAAACTGCCCGAAGGTGTCCAGACTAACTATCGGTACAGGATCCTTGAAGTCCACCCACTTGAGCTTGATCTCCGACGGAAGCTTCTCGACAAGCTCATGCAGCAACGATGGATTGCCCAAATGTGCTTCAAGATTAGCTGCAACTAGGTGATCGCAATAGTTCTGCACCGCCATCCCATAAGCGATAAGTGTGTCTAACCTTCCTTCCTTCGGGGATTGCGTATTTCGGATCTTGGCCAATAGCGCCAAAGATCATTCGCAGGGTGTCAATTACACGCGGGACCGCAGCAGGAAGTAGAAGCCGACTCCGTACTGCTTCTAGTGCATCGCCTTTCAAGCAGCGCTGTAGGCGGATAAGATTTTCTGCGTTGGAATACCCGCATTCTGCAGTAGAGTTTTCATAGTTGCTAATGAAAACTGGCCAGTCCTCCGCGTTTCCGGAGAAGCTGGGCAAATCCTTTGGCAAAACCTGGCGAGCTGCCAGTTGTGAGTTCGTCAGGCCGAATGCTCCACGATTGGGTTGCGTAGGTGCCCGCAATTGGTCTGGGCGTGTTCCTTCCCTAGGGGCATTCGAACCTGGATTCGGATGATTTTCTTCGGGAATCCTGGGTAGACCCGGTGGCCTGTTGCGTGGAATATCAGGCTGCCTCTGGTTACGATGGTCAGAGGGCCCCGGCCCGTCATCCCGGATATGCGGACGCTGTCTCCGGTCCTTGAAGGTTCTGTCAGGAACAGGATCTTCATTCACTTTGTTGCTCGCTTTTGGTTTCGTCCCGGTGTACCGTTCCTTACCGGATTTTCCCATCGGTAGGGGAACTGGAAGTACCTCCGGTGGGTTGGAGTTTTCCTTTTCGAGGTTGTCCACCCAGTCTTTCACCCTTTGTGCGCGAGGTGCGTACAATGTTTTGTGTTTTTCAGCAAAACCCATCTGCTCCAACTTCTCCCGGAACTCTTCACGGCGTTTCTCCTCTTCAATCCGCATCCTATACAGGCATTCCCGTTCTGCGTTTTTGGCATTCTGCGCACGATCGATTTTTCGACGATCTCCTTGGTTCCTCTGCTGGTGATCTGGAAGGGCTTTTGCTCCATCAGACGATTGATCGAAACTAATGCTGCTCATTGAGCTACATCTACCGACTGATCCTTCCAGTTGGGCGTTCAAAATCCGATACTTTTCGGCGAGATACTTCTCCTCCAGCTTCCGGAGCAATTCAGAACAGGATTTCTCATCGTCCAGTTTCTTCTTCGCTAGTGCTTGCTCCTGCTCCTGCTGCCGACGTTCGTTTTCCAGCCGCTTTCGCTCCAGTTCTGCCTCCCTTTTGCGCTGCAGCCTTTCTTGTTCTTGCTGATGACGTTCTTCGTCCAAACGACGGCGTTCGAGTTCCGCCTCCATCTCACGTTGCAGCTTCTCCTGCTCGATGCGGGCTTTCTCCATTTCCGCCTCTTGCTTTCGACGCTCTTCCTCCTCGAGAACCCGCTGCAACTCCAATCGCTTCCGATCCTCCAACTGCTGCAATTCCAAAGCGGCTCTTGCTGCACGGGCTGATGCACGGGTGCTTACCGTGATCGACGACCGACGTGAGGAAACGGAATTCTTTTGCCGACCAACCGGTGTACTGGCCGCAAGCAGTTCTTTACTGCAACCTGGACAGGTCCAAGAACGATCCGCTACTGAATCTCCTACATGCACACACTTGTAGTGATACCACATATCGCATAAATCGCATGCGACCATACTTTCGTCCTCCGGATCTTCACACAGGTCACATCGCACTGCTGGAGCGGAAGCCTTCGTCTTCGGCATCTTGGCCGGATCGTTCGAAAGCCACCGAAATTCACTATATTCCGTAAACCTTAAAGAATGTTGCCGATGCAACTAAGGTTAGAATAAAAAACACTCCTTTTTAGCGTAGATTTCACTCGCTTTAAGCTGCAAATATTTATTATTTTAAGTAGATTTTAAGTAGGAATATCTATATTTAACTTATGTTTAGTGTTTAAGCAAATTTTAATAGTTTTATGCAAGAAAATATAATAGTTTTATCGAATACAATGCAATTGAGATCCACGTTTCACAAAATATTTTCACCTTTTGATTTCATGTAATCTTCGACGAATGACAGTTGCGCTGACGGCTGTAGCGATGACAAGCAGCGGTAGGGCTACCAGATTCCTCGCTCGTCCGTCCGTGACGAGTTCAAGGGGACTGCGGATGGCTTGTAGCAGTACCAACAGGAATGTTATTATTACTGATGGCTTCCAAATTTATTTATCTTTCCGGTACGTAAAAAGATTTGATAAAGAGAAACCAATCGTTGAGATATTGTCAAAAGTCTAACATTGCTTCTTGACGCCAAACTCGGCCTACGGATTCTAAACTCGGCCTAACGCATTGAAACGCCATTGAAACGCCAATGAATTCACTTCGTCCCATCGGATGAAGAAAAAAATTGATTCGGTCGGAGCGTTTCTTTTGTTTTTTGGGAATAATGGGTGCAAACCTTCATATCACGCGTTCTCATTGACTTCGTCCGGTAGCTTATAAGCGAAAGTGTCGTACCAAACGCATAATTGTCTTGTTAACTCTGAAATCATGGATTTATTTGAAGTTTTCTGCTCGATAGGCCCAACATGGGCGATTAGGCCGAAGTAGTTCTCTACCCTACTACACTATGTTTGTTTTGATTCGCTATGAAAGTTTGACAGATAAAATGAGGAGTTCGTAAATTTCCCTATGTTTCGAGGGGTGCATCGATTAGCTTGGGACCAAAGATAGTGCCAGAGCTGAGCAAAAAAGTTGAGCTCGTTTCTTCGGGACCTTCTAGTCTTAAGCTAGGTTTAGACTAGGCAAGTCAAATGATCAACTAAGTTGAATTCAATTGGCTTGAAAAGTTGAGCCTGGTTCAATTTTTTTCAATTCAAGTGAGTTGAGCAAGTCACTTGAATGGCATGGTTTACACGTTCAATTCGCGTTCAAGTCAGTTGAATTCAACTGACTTGATCAATTGGCTTGCCCTGTCTAAACCCAGCATTAGAGTTACCTCTATGATAATACACCCATGCTAGGTCAAGCACTGAACTAGAAATTCTGCTCATAAAATTCACTAATTAAGCAGCCATTAAATATAACCTTGGGCATTGGCAAAGCCTTGAAGTTATTTGATTACTTTTCACGCTACTGAAGCAATTCTAGAATTCTGAAGATCCTCAGTTATAGAATTCTCTGCGTTTGTAAAATGCTCAAGTATTAGTGCAGAACTCGGGGTAAATTATAAGTATTAGTGCAAGAAAATCTATGAATTTACCCAAAGTTCTGCACAATTACTTGTGCACTTCATAAACGTCAGAGAAGTCTATTAATTGAGAGCTTTCTATGCCAACCAATGTATGAATTTGTATATTGTGTGGCAAGCACAATGATACTCTGCCCAGGAAAGTCATGAAAGTTGACAACCCGAAAGATTTCCTTGACCGAATCGAACTCGGGCTTGGTAGTATAGTCTGGTCCACTTAGAGTCCGGACACTTTATTTATTCTATAGCAGCACCTCGAGTGGTGGGATTTGGAATGTTTTGACAGCGATTTGTTTTGAAAGTACTCGTGTTTCAGTGGGGAAAGTTTCGTCTCGATACGCACCGTATTAAAAAAGTTGTACTAGATGGAAGACGAGAAAAGAAAATTGATCCTGCACACCGTTTTCTTGGTGATGAAAAGCTTTGTTTTGTGTCCGCAGTGAATTTATCGGCGAAAACAAACTTTGAATGAATGAACGGTAACCTGCTTGCCGAGTATTAGCTTGGCCACGGTTCAGTACAATCGCTGTTTTTAATTCGCTTGTGTTCAATTTAATACCCTCGAGTGGTGTAACATTACACGCGCGGTCGAACGGCCAAAGTGATAAGTCATCAAATCGCGAGGGTCAATAAACCCGGTGTGCAATTTGTTCACCTAACGCAGTGGTTTAAATTTACCAGATGAATAATTCTAGTTTCCCCCGGCTGGGGGAAACCTCTGGTGGAGGTGGTGGAAAGATTTTAGTTATGGAAAGGGGAGAGGAGGGTAAATCCTTCCACGGAGTCTCACCGATTCTCGTCGATAAAACAATTAAAGCTTACTGCGGGGAAGTAGCAAGCGCAAAAAAAAACGAAAGACGGGAAAATTTTCGTTCACGTTAAAAGTGAAGGCCAGGCCAGAAACCTGGCTAAAATCGAAAAGCTGGCTCAAGGAAGTTCCACCAAAGTGTACAAGCACAAAACTCTTAACTCGTGCAAAGTAGTGGTTTTTTGCCAGGACATAAAGTTTGACTGTGACCAAGACTTACTCGAAGACCTATCGAAAACAGTAATAACTGAAGTTCGGCAGAGTATGAAAGGACGCGATGAGAACAAAACTCCCACTGGAATTTTTGGTACATTCTGTTGGAAACAAGACCGTTGTATCCGAACCCTTTGAGGTGCTTCGTGTGCTATAAGTTCGGGCATATCGGAAAA